TTTTCTTGACCCTTATTTCGTTTTCTGTGACAGTGATGGATTAACGCAGCTTCTTATGATCCTTATCCGTTTGTCTACATGTCGATGAGTTCATCAGAATGATTGATATCATAATCTGCTGATATCAAAGCTGCCGTAGCCGTGAAATCAACGATTATGATAAATCTTGATATGTACAATGAATTGAAACGTCTCAGCTAACAACTCATATTAGATTTTTGCATTTGGTTTCATTTAAACCAGCAAATGACTCATTTTGATTTGGTAAATGATTCAACAATTAATATTTCTGCAGAAGTATTTCTGGATTCCAGACATATCCAGACAAAAAAAACTTACTTAAAACCAAACATACAAAATTAAACTTTTAATCTCCATCTGTGTCCAGGCGACTGTCGCCCCTCTGGCTCCCAAACACTGTCTGAATGATTTGCTCCACTCCTCCTGTACAGGATCGAAAAGCCCCAACAAGGACAGCCGCCAGAGAGGCCACCTGTGAGCTGCAGCGAATGCATTTCGTGCTGGCTCTGAATACAGATTGAGACTGTGACACAAATTAAACTACAATGCATCTTCAGATTAAAGCAATTAAACTGTCAGAGCTCTGAGGCGCAGTATTTTGGCTGTGGAAACAAAAGGGGACATTCAATCCATTAAGTTTGTATTATGAGCTGTGCTTTAAGATCTACGCTGTGGCGTGTGAGTGCAGAGTCCTTTTAGAACAATGCAGAGATAATGAAGAAGCTTTTCCATCTATGCGGGCACTATTTCTTTGACATTTATGTCTCGTTAGCTGACAAAATCCAATTACTTAAGCGATTTCATAAATGTGCCCTTAAGAAAAACCTAAAATCGCTCAACTTTGAAGCTGAAAGGCACATTTTTGGACCACTAGACTACGCTTTCCTTTAGATTTCTTTTTAAATCTACATTGTGGAGTATAGATGATCGCTATAATGCTTATTACATCCTGGACAGCCTGATGACACAGTTATAATAAATCACTCCTTTGTCTGACCTGGATGACATACCTGTACACCTGCCACCTTCAGCAATGTAAGGACTGGCCCACACACAGAAACAGAAAACTCCCAATGCAGGGAATGCTGGGAAATCTGACCACAGTATAATGAATCTTCTGAGTAAGTACGGGGCGGAGAGTGAAACACATCACTGACTAAATGACAAAATTAAAGAGCAGCTTCTTTTAATAAAGCGTGCCAGGATCCTGATGAAATCAAGGGTGTAATTACATCAACTATTAAAATTATATGGAGAAAATTAAACTATTAAAAACTTCTAAAACAACGACTTTTGGCCTGGGTATCAAAAGAAGATCAAAGTATGGTTTCTGCATGCCTAATGTTGAGTTAATGTATGAAAAAGGAGGCAGTTAAAAGTTTCAAAAACAGGCTTTAAAAATAAAAAGGGAACTGTGTGTGCAAGGGTTTGAAATATTTAAGGGCAGGTCCACAAGAAAAAAAGTAAAATAAAGTAGAACTCAAGTCTTTGATTAAAAAAAACAAAACAAAAACCCTGAACAAAAACACAAAAAAAAACCCATTATGATGGATGAACCAAAACTCCCATGGAAAGAAAAATATAAAGAAAAACAACAAAAAACAAAAAGGCCATTTCTGTTGCAAAATCCTTGGAATCATAACATCCTCT